TGTTCAGCCTGGAGAAGAAAAGGCTCCAGGGAGACCTTAGAGCAGCTTCCAGTGCCTGAAGGGGCTCCAGGAAAGCTGGGGAGGGACTTGGGACAAGGGCAGGGAGGGAGAGGACAAGGGGGACAGTTTTAAGCGGAAAGAGGAGAGATTTAGAGGGGATATTAGGAAGAAATTCTTTGCTGTGAGGGTGGTGAGAGCCTGGCCCAGGTTGCCCAGGGAAGCTGTGGCTGCCCCATCCCTGGCAGTGTTGAAGGGCAGGTTGGATGGGGCTTGGAGCAGCCTGGGCTGGTGGGAGGTGTCCCTGCCCATGCAGGGGTGGGACTGGATGGGCTTTGAGGTCCCTTCCAACCCAAACTGTTGTATGATTCAGTGATTTGTGGATCTCCAGAGGCTGCTCAGAGCTGCAGTGAAGCAAATCTTGGTCAGATGTGCAAAATCTTTCAATGCCATCAGGTCAAGATGTCCAGGTGTGGTGTGATGTGGCAGGTAAAGCACAGGAAGGACAGAGTGGGGGAGAACTGGGAGTTTAGAGCCCTAAACCCTGTGCCACGTCCAGCATACTTCACAGTGCAGAACACATAATGCTAGGGAATGAAGAGCAAGTGAATGTTGATATTTCTGTGGTCTCTGGCATTATTGGTGATGTTATCATCACTATTTATGGATCTGTAGTGTATCTTTGACCACTTTCCAGGGCTGTTTCACCCTGAGCCAGAGGATGACATCTTCAGCAGGCAATTGTGCTGGGAATTGGTACAAAACTGAAAACACATTAAATTGACTCCACAGACAGTGTTTGGTTTCAGAGATCTGCCTTTCCCACGTGTTCCAGGAATCCTCTGCAGCCCTGGCTCACAGGGGGAAGCCTCACTGCTTTCTATACAGTGGGTGACAGAAGAGCTCCAGGCTGGCTCCAGGCTGGCTCCCAGGGCACCCCATGCCCAAAGCACAGCTTTTCCCACCAGACCCTCCTCTCTCCTCTCCCGTTCTGCTGGGAATGGCCACCATGAGGGGGTGACCCTGCCGCTGCCAGACCAGCCTGCAGCCTCTTGTAAGTTGTCTCCTGCCGGTGTGGGAGCCAGGATTGCCTCCCGAGACGGTCTGGGGAGCTGTGGCTGGACCGGGATGAATCCCCATCCCTGGACGAGCCGTGTCCTGGAGAGGGAGCCACAGTCCAGGCTCTGCCCGCTCCCGTTGGGAGCGGCTGGAACCCCCGGAGCCCGGAGGTTCTACCTGGGCAGTCCCGATTCACCACAAACCCCGTGTTTGCTGAAGGAGGACCCGAGCAGAGGAGCAGTTGAAGGTGAAGAACACGTTTGGGTTTGGCACTGAAAGACTGACTGAGAGCAACCTCATGGCTTCCTGCTGTAAGAGAAGTTCTAGTTTCTTAAGTCCTGACAAGGAAAATGGAGACCTGAATTTACTGTGTCTTGGAGCTCTCTCCATCGGTGTAAAACATCTTGATGGAGTTGCTCTTCTCTAGGAACAATGAAAGACATTGTCTTCCCCTCTGTCAGGCTTGGCAGATACTTCACTTCTGAATGAAAACGTTAGCCCCTCTTACCCCCTCTTTTCTCTGACCCAAATGATTTATGCAGCTGCTGTGAGCTTGGAAGGGTTAAGGTGTAAAAAGCAGCTGCTTCAGTTTCTTCCAGGAGCATCTAACTTCTGGGCATTGCTTGTTGGTGACTCAAGTCTTGATGTAATGATTGTCTGTCAGTGGTGAAATAAGTACATGGCACAGGCACTGAAACAACCCAAACTTTCTTATCCCCCTTCTGTCTCAGAAAGGGGAATTTGCCAATGATCAGGTCTGTCTAGGGCCTCCCCAGGGCACTGGAGCTGTGCCCAGCTGCTTATTTGCTTCCTCCTGGCCCCTGGGGAGAGACTTTGTCAGCAGGTTTTTCAAGCTGGAGAGTTTCAGTGCAGTGTCCTTGCTCTGTTCTCTTCTGCCCCATCCTACTGTGCCAGCTGCCTTGTGCCAGTCCCTGGCAGAAAGGCAGGAGGCAGCTCAGCCCTCTGCAAGCCCTCACCTTTGCTGCCAAGACTGGCACCAACACCTCCTGATGCTCGTGGCAGGTTTTTTTGAAACAGCAGTGAACCAGCTGAGAATCAGGCTGGGGCACTTCTCTGTTTTCTCATTTCACAGGGGCTGGCAACTGTCCCCAGCTTCAGCACAGTCCTTGTCAGTGCCTCTGGAAGTGCTGCTGCCCTGTGTAGCAGGGAGTTCAGTGGGAAAGGCAGAGAGCCATTCCATACTGCTCCCCAACTCCTCTTTGCCTGGTGTATTCATCTGCCCCCCTGGGAGCTGCTCCTTCAGCAGCACTTGGGCAGAGCCCAGGGCAGAGTGTCCCTGCCTGCTGGAAATGCTCAGCAGTTTCCTTGGGAAACGTTCCATTCCGTTATCTATTAGAGTGCATAGGGAGATCACGCCTCTGTGGGATGTTTCTAAAGCTGCTGGGAAGGGGGTTCTGGGTGGTGTGTACACTGGGCAGTGTAAAAGAGCTGTCTCTGGAGAAACAAACCCTGCTCTGCTGCGTTGCCCCCTCCTCTCTTCGGGGTTGGACCCAGCTGGTGGGAGGGATTTCTGACTGTCAGCAAGAAAAGAAACAAGAGAGCATGTGAGGGAAAGGAGCTAGACCTGGGAAAGGCAGGAGAAAAGTTTTGTTACTCCTTTGACATGCAGGGAAGCTGCTCCCGGTGTGTGATTGTGCAGGAGCGCCCGGATCCCGGCGCTGGGAGCAGCTCTGGGAGCAGCTCTGGGAGCAGCTCTGGGAGCTGGGGCAGCAGGATGGCTTAGGAGCTGCCGGGGGGGGAGGCTCTGCCGGCCTGTGGGAAAGCCCTCTGGGAGGAGGACTCCTCAGGGTGCAGGGGAGCACTTCTCCTTTTCCCCCTCCCTTGCCGGGTGCTGATTTTTATATTGTGACTCCAACTCAGCTAAACCCACATGGGGCTTAATTGCTGGACAGAACCCAGGTCTTGTGAGCCACCGGGTCTTTGGGCTTTGTCAGGAAGCAAATGCCAGAAGGAAAAGTCACTTTGGTACATTTCACTGCCAGCAAATGAGCATAAGAAGCCAGGTTCGGTTTGGGGAGAAACCCTGTGACAATCTGCACTCTGGTAATTCCCCACGGACTGAAGCAGCCTGGGCTCCCTCTGCCAGGATTCCTGCCTGCCCTGGTAGCAAGAAAACGAGACACACTCCAGTTGGAATCAGGAGGTAGCCAGGAGTGTCCTCCTTTGAGGAACAGGAACTCGGAAGTCGTGCTGGAGGAGGCTGTGAGATTTCCTAGGCACCCCTGGGAGCACCTTGTGGGGGAGAGGAGCTGCTGCGATGGAGCTGCCTGCGGTGGCCCTGCCGCTGCTCCTGCTGCTGCGAGTGCCTTCCCTTGCTCCTGGGACCCAACTGCAGCCCCACATGTAAGTAGCAAGAAAAACAACCAACAAATAAAACCGAGGAGTTTTGTAGGGCAGGGAACAGTCAAGCAGAAGCTAAAGAGAGTGTTTTATAACAAAGGGTGAAGGGAGGAGTGGAAGGGAAGGCTGCTCTGGTTTTCTTTATCTAGTACCAGATGTGCATGAAGGTGAATAGAAAATTGAAAACCTGGGTAGTCTTTGCTTGTAGGACCTGACTCACTGCTTTTAACTGAAATGTGTGAGCACAAGAGGTAACTGTGTATATAGTTTTAGCTTTCTTCACAGACTTGCTATTTCTCACTGCACTTCACGCGCCCCTCGCTGCGTTTCCTTCCCCCTCGGCTGTTGCTGCACAGAGTCTGTTCTTTTTAATTAAGTTTTACAGTTACAGTTTGGTGTGAATCATTTGGCTTCTTTGGAAAACTTCCTTGCAAATTTGGTCTCCTGCCAGAAGATGATCTCTCGGTGCAGGGGGGTCGCTCTCATTCTTTCTGTAAATGAGCCCAGTGTTGCAGGGTGTGCTCTGAGCTGCCCTCCCGGGGCTCTGACTTGGTGCTTGCAAAGGAGGCCTTTTCAGCAGATAAAGGTTTGGCAAGAAGATGCCTTTTCTCTCTCTCTCTGGCAGAGATTTTGTGCTCCTGACTTGACAAGTACTTTTAGGGCTTCTTGGATGAGCCACTAGAGCTGAGCTGTGTGCCAGAGTGTCAGAGAAAAGAGAATGCCAGGGCCTGGCAGCTCCTGTGGGGCTGCTGCTGCTGCCCAGCCACGCTGGGGGCACACAGGAACCCTTCTTTGCTGTAACAAATGGCACCAGAAAGGTGCTGCTGCCAGCCTTGCCCTTGTGGTCCCTTTCAGTCCTTTTTTGGGGGAGGTGAGGTGCCTGCAGGCTAATGGCAGAGGAGGTCCAGGAGGTTAGGAAATACTGCCCTTCCCATCAGCCTGCAGCTCTCCAGGTCTGTGTGAACAGTCTCAGGGAATAAAACTGCCTCTCTGGCAGCCACCATTAGCACTGAGGCTGTTGTACTGGTGAAGTGATGTGTGTGGAGCTTTGCAAGCCCAAGAGCTCGGCAGTGGCCACATGTGGAGGTTTTCCAGCAGAGCCAGAGGGGGAAGGACACATGCCATTAATCCCAGAGGCACTGCCAGGCTTGCTGGGCCAGCGGCGGGATGGAAGGTCCTGCTGCCTCCAGGTGCCAGCTGCAATCTCCATGCTTCACCACCTTCCAGTTATTCAGCTTCACTTCTTTCATAGAAAGCATTTTTGTCAGAACTCTCAGTTCCTTTTGAAGAACTGGAAGCAACAGAAACAGTCTCAAATAACAAATGGCTCATGACTTGTTAAGGCAGAGGCAAATGTTCCCCTCTTCATTCTCAGTTAAAACTTCTGACTCATATTTGGTGAAAGAGAGTTGGGATTAGAAAAGAAATAAACTGCAAAAGGAATTTTCCTGATTTCCTTTACTGAATTATACATACTAACTTTATTTACTGGCTTCTTGCAGCTCTTGGCTCTGAACGAGTGAGAAAGCATCTAGGACAGCAAACTGAATTTTGATTTTAAGAAGTATTAGTAAAATGATGTGTCATTTCTAGTGACACAATATTTTTTTCCCAGACATGGTCAGAGGATGCAGATACCACTGGTGTTTGCAATGACCATAGCCAGGAAAGTATTCCCATAGGTGCAAAGAAAGCAGATGTATTCTTCATTAAATGAGGGTGGATATATAGAAGTTATTGTGCAGCCAGACCGTGTAGGCTGCTGCCTTTTTTCTGATCCATCCTCTCTGTTTTAAGGCTAAAAATTAGCCTTAACTTACCAGTGGAAAAGTAATTTCTGCATTTTTCAAGTGGGTTATGGAGAGTCCCAGGACCCAGAGGGATGAAATGCAGCAGGTTCCCCATCCCACTGCAGTTTGCTGGGGTGCAGAGTTAGGAAGGAGGTTGGTCCAGGTTTGTGTCATGTGTTGGAGCCTCATCATGGGCTGCAGCTCTGGGGGCTCCAGGAGGGGGTCCTGGCTGGGGGGGCTGCCCATGCCTGCCACCAACTCACAGTGTGGGGTTACTCAATGGGTCCTCTCTACGTGTAGCAATTTCCCACCTGTAAACAGGGATTCCTGATGTTCACTTTGTAGTTCTCCAGGGTTTAACTGATTCACCAAGGCCTCACGATGTGCTTCTGAGCAATGCAGGTGATGTTTTTGTGCTGGGTGTTCTCCTGGTGCTGTTGTCACACTGTCTGTCCACGAAAGCACCAAATCCAAGAGGTTCTGGGGGAGGTGAAGAGGCTGCACTCAACAACTGCTTATGGCTGGCAGACCTGGCAGGTTCCCTGCACCAACTTAATGAATGGAGCAGGCAAAGGTTGTGCCTGGTGTCCCATCCTCCTGCTCGCCCTTTGAGGAGCTGAAGTTGCCCGGAGCTGGTGCCTTTTGCAGGACGGGATCCCCGCAGCCCCCCTGGGTGTGTGCAACCCCCCTGGGTGTGTGTAGCCCCCCTCATCTCTCTGTTTCTCGTGCCAGGCCCAACGTCTGTGCCCAGCAGGGACTGGTGATGGTGGGGCAGCGGCCGCCGCGCGCCCGGGCGCTCACCCGCCGGGGCTGGGGGCAGGACTGCGGAGCTCGGCGCTGGTGCCCGGGCTACGAGCGCAGGTACGTGTCCCTCCCCCTGCCTGGTTTGCTCCTTGTCTGCTGAAAGATGCAGTAGAACCAGAGCCTGGTGCCTGGCCTTCTGCTGAGCTGGGCTGAGGGCAGCAAAGCAGCTGGACTGGGGGTTGATGGGAGCGGGGGGTGACGTGCAGGGCGGTGGCTCCGAGCGCGCGCATCAGCTGTGAACAGTTGAGCTGTTTTATGAGGTATTTTTTTGTGGCTGAAGCCAAGAGGCTATGAGAGAGTTGTAAACATTATGTGCCTCTAGCTGGAGGGGTTTCTGACCCTACCTGGCATTTTTGTGACACTAAAGGTCTTTAAGCTGTTCAGGAATTCCCAACAAGAAGCTCTGAAGCAGCTCAGCTGTGGGTGGCTGTTCCCACTCTTCTGACAGGGGGTTGCATCTGTTCCCTATGAACATGCCACAGGAATAAAAACACTTCATCACAGCATGTGAATTATTCCTGTATCTTTAGGTGTCTCTGCTTCAAAGCAGAGGCATCTCAGTGCCTCTATGAGGTTTCACAGAGCTGAAGGCAGGAGCTGGGTCCCCGGGGGGCTTATTGTGCACAGTCTAAAAACAAATAAATAGAGACATGTGGCCACTGTGCAAGTGATGCTCTGTGAGGGTGTGTGACTGCAGTGGTGGTGATTGGCAGCTCCTCAGCTTCCTTTCACACCATGAGCAGGACTGTGCTCAGGCCCAGGCTAGAAGAGTGTCCAGCTCCATGGAGTGAGGCTTGTACGTGCAGGAAAGGAGCTGGAGTTTAGTCTGAGTGTAACACTGATATTCAGCAAACTGTAGTGTCCCTTTAGTTGCTGACTGACTTTTACTGGGAGATGGGAGACCAAGCAAGGAGAGGCTGCACAGGAGGGCTGTGAATATGTGCAACAGTGCAAATGATGAACTTTTCTTACCTACACAGCAGCCAAACTACAATGTGCCCAATCTCCTTCTATGCTCCATCTGCTTTTCCAGCCTCATCGGGCAGGTACAAACCTTTACAGACTGAGAATGCTAGGAGCAGTTTCAAAGACGCATCTTGGACTAGAGGCAGCTTTTAAGTCCTGACTCTAGGAATTCCTCCTAACCTGTAATTGCCAGTAATTATCCTGGTGATGATATCTGTGTAGTGGTAATAATGGAGCAAACAGAGTCCATCTTTTGACAGTGTTTTAAGACAGGACTTTGAAATGGTAGGTGCCTTGTCTGCTTCCACTTCAAAGAGTGGGAACACTCCAGGCCCAGCTGTCCCTTTGGTGCTCTACTGTCTGGTTCTGACACCGTAATTCAAGGAACTGAAGTGAAAAAAATCTCAGTCATCCTTCATTATAAAGATCAGAACAGCCTAGTGCTAAACCTGCTCCTGGAGAAAATGCAGAGGTGAAACCTAGAGGTGCTGGGAGGGATTTTACCCAGGGGATTGTAGAAACAAGTACAGTAAAAGAACTATCAGCAAAAAGTTTCTCAGGCAAGATTTCACCCTATGTCTCCTCACTCTAAACTCCTCTTTGGGGTTTCCAGCACAGCAACACGGGGCTGCCCTGAAATTGCCCTCAGGGCTTCATGGACACAAGAAAATCCAGCATCTGCCCCTCCTGGTGCAGCACTGGGTGCTGTGGGGGCTGAGACGTGAGGGGCTCATCATCCTGAGCTGATTCCCTGCACTTCCCAGGGGAGCCTGGGCTGCTGCAGCTGCTGCTGCAGTCCCATCATTTCATCTGAGCTCTAAGTGCTCCTGGCAAGGATGGGAGCTTTTTAGGTGAGCTGGGGATGGGGCAGCTGAGCCTGTGCATGGCCAGGGCATTTGTTTTTAGACTTGTGGCTGTGCTGAGGGTGCTGGGTTGCTGCACCTACTGAAAATCAGAGCAAACCTTCCTCCACAGCCCCAGAACACTGGCCTTGCTCCTCAGCAGATGAGCTGAGCACCCCGTGGGCTGTGCTTCCCTTTGGGAAAGGGATGCTTGTGCTGCCTGTGTCACCTTCCTGAATCAGCCCACAGCAGAAGGTGTTTTTTTCTCAGCCCTTAGTAACAAAACCTGGAGGAATGATGACTCTGTCCCAGAAGGATTGAAAGTGGATTTTCCAGCAGCAGGACACAGCAGGATTTTTAAGCCTGGGTTCCATTAGTTCTGGCTCATTCAACATTTTCTGTGCCAGGGACTCCTTAAAACAAAAAAGAAAACAAAAACACTGAAGATAAAGTATCTCCTCTGCAGTTCTTTCCAGCCTGCAGCATCCAGATCCCCACAGGCAACTGGGGCTGTCAAAATATTTGCATCTCCTTGAGAACCCACTTGGGCTGACTTAAGGATCTGAAGTGTCTGATGGAGCCCACCAAGATTCATGGAGATGAGGTTGCTCAGGGTGCTGCTGGGTGCAGAAAGGAGCCCTGAGATTAGTCTTGAACTGTCCTGCATTTACTGTTTCTTGGAATATCTTTTCCTCCTCCTGGCTGAGCTGAGGCAGGGCAGGTGGAACAGGCTTCTTGCTGCTGTGCAGGCTTTCTCCTTTTGGATGGAAAGGAAGGTGTTTTCCAGAATAGCCCCTGCAGTTACCAGCACTTTGCACCCATTGTGTCCTCTTGTGCTTCATAACATGCCCTGGGCTGGGAGATGGCTCCTGATACCAAGAGGATCCAGATGGATCTCCACTGAACTTCAGATGCTGGAGTGACTGTAAATTGCTTTCTCAGCTGCTTCTGGAAGACAAGAGTTTCCTTCATAATTTGTTAACAACTCATACAAAAAACCCATGTATCTGCTTTTATTTTTCTCAGCTGTGCTCCCATGTGCTGGTTGGCACAGAAGAGCAGCCAGAGATTTCCTTCCCAGGAACTAATGGTTCACTGTTATTTAGGGGGTTTTGTAGAACCATTCAGGCAAAATCAAACAACTAGGCTGAGTTGGGGTAAATATTTTCAGTGGACACGTACAACACATCTGCTGTGCCAAATATTTGTTGTTGTTTGTCTGATTTGCTTTGCTGGGGCAGTTTCATGTTCTGCCAAAGGAGCTTTCTAAAAATTGACTTCAAAAGTTTTATCTGTGTCTCAGTTTTCACGGATACACAACGTCAGATTTCCAGGAAAGAAGTGTCCCTTGTATTTATTTGTGCTTCAGATCAATCCCTGCTTTACTGCCCCAGCTCCCACCCTGGAACTAACTAGTGGGAGTTGTTAAAGGGACCTTCAGCCTCTACCTGAGAGCAGCATCCCCAGCCCTGCTGAGGGATGGGGCTGTGGCCACTGCTCCTGGTGAGGTGGCCATTGTCACCTCCCAGCACTGCCCTGGGCTTCTGGCTTTTCCTGGAAGGTGGCAGAGGTGTGGTGACACGGGTGCCATGGCTGGTCTCATGCAGCTGAGGGTTCTTGGGGGGTGCAGCTGTAGGACTGAGGAGGGAAAAGCCCTTTCCATCAGGGAACCCCTTCTGCCAACCCTGACCTGGAGAAACCTTGCTGTGTAAAACACAACTGCATGGAGAGCTTTTTGAGGAGCTTGGTATTCCCATCAGGATTCTGACAATTTTGTAGCCCTCCAGCCCCTTGAACATACCTGCTCCTGCTCACTAACTCTGCAGGGAAATGCCTCTTGCATTTTGAATTTAAATTTCAGTTACTAACAAGTAGTTTAAGAGAGAAGCTCAGAGCTGTGAAATAGTTTAGAAAAGGAGAAAAGAGCCAGGGGTGTTATGAGGACCTGGACACTCATGTTCCCAATTAAAGTAAATTAAGAAGTATTTTCTTAGCCTCAGTGATCACTGCTAGACCAGGTGGAAAAAAATGTCAGTGCACTTGAAAACCAGACTCCTCGTTTTACCTGCATCCCTGGTGAAATCACAACCCTGTTCTTCCAGCTTCCCTGTCCTACAGGAATTAACACTGCCCCGGGGGGGGGTTTGTTTTGCTGTGTTTCAGCACTGTGTACTACCCGGGCTACAGGCACCAGGGGAGCACCCAGACCATCTACAGGTGCTGCCCGGGCTGGTCCCAGCGCGAAGGTGACAGCGGCTGCTTCTACCGTGAGTGTCTTGGGCTGGGGGTTCTCCTTACAAATCCTGGGGGAAATGCTGTCAACACACCTTTTAGAAGAACTGGCTTCTGTTGTTGTTGCTGTTTGCTTCTGTTTTTTTTATTTTTCATTCCTCCCTGGCTGCAGCTCTGTGTCAGGAGGGCTCTGCTCTGGCCTGGGTTGCTCTCTGGGCTGGGGGAATGTCCTTGTTGCAGCACGACAGGCTGGGCAGAGTCGTTTCCGTTTATGCAGTTGCCAAATGCTGCTGAATGCTGAAAATCAAGCCCAAAATGTTGTTTTAAATTATGCCATTGGCAGAGTTTCTGGGAAGCTGAGTGGACTTTTCATTATAAACCCAGTAATTGCTGTCAGTGTGACCGGGGGTGCCGGGAGGGCTGATTTGCTGGCCAGTTGCTCTTACTCAGCATTCCTGAGAATTGCTTCCTTGGAAGAGGCAGCCTTTGACTAATTATGCACAGGCTGAGGAGCTGGGCGTGGGTGCTGTGCTCCAGCAGGCAGCCTGTGGCCACTTGTTGGAGGATGTTCTTCCCTGCTTCTCACCCCAAACTGCATCTGAGAGCAGGATTCGTTCATCAGCTTCTTTGCAAAGGGATGTGATTTTTATCTGCTTTGGAAAGGCCCACGTGTGTGTTAGGTACTAGATCTGTTATTTTTAAGGCTTGTTGATCTTCAAATTACCCCTGCCAGAAGTTAGAGATCTTTGTCTGCCCCCTCCTTTGGCCAAGGGTGAGCACTCAGGTTCAGGCCTGGTGGGATCCAGCAAGGGATGTTGCAGCATCAGCCCCAGAGCAGGGAGCAAATTCCCAGCAGGGGTGAGGGGGTGGCACTCACAAGGGTTGGAAGCAGAGACCCAGAGCTTGAAGCTTTAGGCTTGTGTGCCTGGCTTTCCTCCTCTTTTGTGTCTGCTCTAGTGTAAGTCTCTGCAAAACAGGCATGGGAGTATCTCCTTCCCAGCTGTGCAGGGACCCTGCAACGTGTGTTCAGATTTGCACGAGTCAGGCCAGGGACGTGCAAGTATTAATATTTAAGATGACTTTATGGTATTATTGCAGAAGCCAGAGGCAGCACTATCCTCCTGGGCCCCATATTCCTGCCTCCCCCTCCAAGCTGCCCTGCTTGACACGGGAGGCAGATGCTGCTTAACTCCCAGCTCCTTCCCCTGAGCTCTTGCAGCCACATCCAGCTGGGGAAATATTTAATTTCAAACTTTGCTTTTGAGATGTTGAGAGCAAAGTAAAACCCTCTCCAGAACCAAACAGAGGTTGATCTGAGCATATGTGTAGAAATAAATGTCACCATCAAGGCAGGACAGCACACGCTCCCTGGGGTTTATTATTAATTCTCTGCCTGGCTGCATAATGGAGCTCTGATCTGCTCAGAATTAGGCTTTGGAGCTGCTCTCCTGCCCTCGCCAGAGAAAAGCAGCTTTCCTTTGAAGCAGTAGGCAGGCAAACCAACAAAGCCTTTGGGATCCATCCTGCCTTGCCATGGAGGGAATGAAAGCTGGCTGTGCCCAGCCCCATTGTACAGGCCATTTTGATTGTAATTGACCTACAGTGTAGGAAAAAGTCTCCCACGGCTGCTCATCTTTTGTTCTGCAAGGGGCTGCAGACACCTTCCCTGTGCTTTGATGCTGAAAGCAAAGGTTTAAAAAAGAGAGAGAGAAAAAAAAAAGGTGTGTCTGGCAACCAATCTTCATTCTTCCCATTCAAATTCCTGCAATACAGGAGAGCAACCCCACTGTGCCAGAGGAAACTCCACGGGTGCCTAATAACCACTGTCAGTGAGCAGATAATAACCTCGGATGAACTCAGAAAAGTGTGTCCTGTACTGATTTTTCCTGCCAAGGAAGTGAGTCATTCCAGCCCGGAAGGAGGCAGAGAGAAGGAAATAAAGCTGCTCAGGGCACCCTCCTAACTCAGCACCCTCAGCACCTGGACCAGCCCTGGGGCTGCACAGGCTGCTCCCTGCAGGGTCCCTCTGGGGTTAAAGAGAGGGAGGTCCAGCTCTTTAGGAGACAGGATACCTTGCCTGTCCCTATTCATTTGAAATTTACTGCTGCAGGGCTGGGCAAACTGGGGGGGTTTGCTCCCTTGTCATGCACAAGCCAGTAGTTCCTGCTGCTCTCCTATAAATGGCTCCTGTTTTCTGTGCATTATTCCCAAGAGCAGGAAAGCCAGTAGATGTTTTGCAGCTGGAGTCTGAGCTGAAGAGCAGGTTACCAAGTCCTTGCTCCCACCTCTGTTATTTCAGAGTGAGAAAGAGGGTGACATGCTCAGTTCAGTGGCATCTTAGCAGGAAGGGCATGAAGGTGCAGATGGAGGCCAGGAAGGTGCCCTGAGCCTGGTTACCTGCAGATCCACCTCCACCCCTGCTCTGGTGGCTGCTGGACTGTTCTGGTCATTGTCCCCCAACTCTCTCCATCCGTCTGCCCTGGGCGCTCAAAGCATCTGGAATAATATTCCTGGGATGGGCAGCTTGTGTGTTTGTTGTCTCCTTTTAGCAGCCCCAAGGGACAGCCAGCCCTGGTGCTCTCTGCCAAAACAGCCTGACACCAGCTCCAAAAATTCAGCAGAAACTGCTGCCAAGCTGCTGGTGGGGTTTGGAGGTGGGATGTGACCTTTGGCTGGTGAGCATCTTGAGTGAGATAAATGTGCTGCCTCAGGGAAGCCCAGCCAGGGTGTTGCATTGTTAGGGGATATTCTGCTTCATCCATGGCCATCACGAGTGGCCCTGCACCCACTGGCACAGCTCTGCTGAAGTGCAACCAAGCTCTGCCAAAATGTGTCAACAGGATTTGTGGCCCTTCCTATCTGTCTTCCTATCACTGATCCTGTTCCAGGAGCACAAAGGTGGGGAAGGCTGGTGCTGTTGACAGCTTAATTAGAGCTGTTGGACACCCTGCAGTAGAATCACTCCAGAAAGGGCTTCTTATCCTGCTTTCCCTCAAAGGCTGGCATCTCTTCCCTGCAGGGCTCCCTCTGCTCCAAATGCTGGCCTGCTCATCACTTCTTTTGGAAAAAAAAAAGCAAGCCAAGCCACGGGATGTTTTATTAGGGGATGTTTTTGCCACTGTTGACTGGGGTGCAGCTGCTTCCATCGTGCTTGGGTGTGAGACTCTGACCCTTGGCAGTGCTGTTTGACAGCATGATGAACTGGGAGGTCCCAGCACCCTTGTGGGTACCAGTTGGGTGGAGCTGTTGGGGCTCTCAAACCCTGCACTGGTGCCTGGAATGAGAGACCCTGCCCCGTGGCAGCCCCTGTGTTGAGGGGACCCGGCGTGTGCCCAGGCTGGGGCAGAAGCTCCTTTTCCTCACGTGCAGGTTTGTGTCTCTCAGCACTTGCAGGGGAGGAAGTGGCCAGTGCAGAGCTGGGGGGACTCAGAGCCCGGGGGCTCTGCTGGGAGCAAGAAGCTTGGCAAGAGATGGAACATGTCATAGAAACACCCTGTAAAACAGCACCGAGGCCAAACAGGCCAGAGACTAAAGGCTCCACAGAGACCTCACGAGTCTCACAGAATATTTGATTCCTTTGTTCCTCTCCTACTGTGCCATTTGAAATTGTGACAGCTGGACTTGCTCAGAGCAGCCCCTGGAGCTGTCAGGTCTCACCTTGTAAAGGCAGATGCCAGCTTCCCTTGCAGCCTGCCTGCTTTTTGTCCCCTCTCCTCTGCTGGTAGCAGAAGTGGGGGAGCTTGTTGCAGGTCCATTGCCCTCTGTCCTGGACCATTTATCTTCTCAGACCTGGTTGGGAAGGAAAAGGGTCAGAAGTCAAGACACCCTCTGCATTTTTAGCATGGCATCAAGTCCTTTTCCTGCCTGGCTACTGATAGATTGATTTTCAGACTAAGCTTCTCAGTTTCAAGTGGCCTCTGAGATGCTACTTAAATTCCACATGGGTTCAATAACACAGTTAAAGCCCTTGCTGATTAGGACAAGGGGCCTGCATGTCTGGTAATCCCCAGGATCTCTATTTTCAGCTTGAGATGTTGAAAAGCTAAGCCCCACCAAGTCTACAGCTCTTGGTCTGCACGGAGGAGCTGGAGCTCAGCTGCAGATGTTGTCTCTGTGTCCTTGGGCCAGAACGACATGATGAGGCAGAAAGGCACTGAGGAGAGCAACAAGTATGGAAGAGGCTAAAGAGGAGACCTTTATGAGAAGATGTAGCACCAGCAACCTTGCCATGGCTGCAGTGTGACCTGTGAGCCATGCAGGAGGGCTGGTGCCAGCTCAGCCCTGCCCACAGGCTCTTTGCTGGGGCTGGAGCAGCAGTGGGGCCAAGCAGGGAGGGGGCTGCAGCTGGGGAGGGGGCTGGACAGACCCCAATTGGTTTTTAATGGGCTAGCTCTAAGAAATGGAACACCTAGGAGAGCACAGCCCAGCCAAGGAGTGGTTTAGGCAGCTCTGGCCATCGTGTGGCTGTGTGGCCAGGCAGCTCCTGCTGTCCCTGGTTGTCTTCATCCTGAATTTTTATCCAAACCTCGTTAGGATCATGATTTGCTCTGATTTTTAGCTAAGGTAGAGGCAGAGCCTGGCCCTGGGTAAAGAGGGAGAATTAATGTTCATTTGTTGAGGAGGTGGGAGGAAGTACTGGAGTATGAGACACAATGAAAACCCCTCTGAGCATCCCCAAGGGCTTGAGCAGAAAGCAGCTGAATTTTAATCACCTCATTAAAAGCAAAACTTTTATTAGTCACAAATGGCCTATTAAAAGGCTCCAGAGTGAGTTACCCTGCGCTGAACCACGTCTCCTCCTGCCAGCTCTGCTCAGCTCCAGCATCTCCTGGCTGAGCAGGGCAGGGTGCCCCGGGCAGGGGCAGGCACAGGAGCAGCTCCCTGGGCTGGGCTGCAGGTCGGGAGGCTCGGCAGGAAATGTGTTGGGTTAACAATTTAATTTCCCTATTAGGCTGACTTTCCTTTGTGCATCACCTCTTGGCTCCTGGAGGTCTCATTGTTTTGTCAGCTGAAAGGCTCTGACTGAACTTCTGAACCTTTCGCCTGGGATCCAGCCCTGCCCTGGTTAAACCTGGGGCACAAAATCCCATGGGAGACCATCCTGGTCCAGGCAGAGAACCCTGCTGTCCCTCTGTGAGCCTCTGCCTTGTAGCAGAAGTGCTGCTCCCCATCCCTCTTAGACCAGCCTCTTCTCTCTGCCTTCCCAGGAATCCTGCCTTGCTAAACCCTTGCAAAAGCTGGTGTGCAGCCTGGCCAACAGGAGATGGTGATGCTTTCTGTAATTTATCCTTTCTCTCCCATTTCCCAGAACAGTGCTGTCACCCTTTTCCCAAATTTCCCTTGCACTCAATCCTGTCGCTCTGAATTAGGAGCTGCTTTGCAGAAGGCTTGGGAAGCGCAGGGGAGGGAGACCCACAGGCCCCTCAGCCCCCCTGGGCTGGGAAGTAGGTTATTATGATTTCCACTCTGTATGTGCCAGCCTGAAGCACAGAGCAGGGAATTGTCCGGCTCATTCAGGAAATCTGGGACATAGCCAAGAATAACACCCAGATCTTCTAATCCCTGGTTTGTGTCCCTGCAATTGCTTCTAATAATTTCCATTGTTGTGCTTTGGGTCTCACTGAGCTGGGGACTGAGCACCCCTGGCAAACTGGGCACCAGGGGGCCAGGATCAGCTTTCCTGGGACCCCAAACTCCCATTTTTAGGTGATTAAGTTGAAGAACTCAGGGAAACCCAAACCACCTTACTATGCAATCTGGCTGTTCAGTCAATTCCATCTAATGGAGCTGAGGCCTGAAGGAAAGGCAGGAAGCAAAGTCAGCCCTTCTCCCAAGGCTGGAGCACCTACCTGCAGGTGGGAAGTGCCAAGGAAGTGCTCCCTGCCAGGAGCTCCTTCTGCCTTGCCACATGGGGGGATGTGCTCAGGGATGGCAGGGGCAGCACAGCTGAGCTGGGTGCTGGGCAGCCTCCCAGCCCCCAGTGCTCTGCACCAGCAGCCCAGCATGGGAGTGATCCAGGATTGCTGTGGTCCCCAGAGATACAGGGCTGTGAGAAGTGTCTAAAACATTAGATGAGAAGATAACTGGCTTTCTGAAACACCTTTTCATCACTGTTTCATTACTTTGGGTAAATGAATGGACTTCAATACTACCTTTGTTACTAAATGATCCTTGTTTTTTTTTGAGGGGATTTCAAAAATCATCAGGTCCTTAAAAGAACCAACACTGAGGCTTAAGTATTTCAGCTCTAGTGCATCTAAGGTGCAAAGTCTGGGGAGCTGGGATATTGGTGAGAGAGGGTTTGGGAGGGGCTGGCGTTTTGTCCCAGGCTGGAGAGCTGGGGCAGCTGCCAAGGGAGCTCCTGCACAGCCCCACAGCTGGGCTCAGGGGGCTGTGTTGCAAAAGAAATGTGAGAGAAAACATCCTGACAGCAGGTACGTAGCTCTGCCTGGGGAGAGTGTGTGTTTTGGTGGCAAATGTGCAAAATATTCACCAAAACCTCCTTAATTGTGGCCTGGGTGGGAAGCGCTGAGAGAGGCAGAGCCAGGGGTGAGCTGAGGGGGGGGAATTAGGAAGTCAGGGTTTGTGTAGGAAAAGAATAGAGCCAAGATTGGCAATAAGGAGGATTCAGTGGTAGGAGGAGAAGGGTGGGAGAGGTAGCTGTTAGTTTTCCATGTGGCTGGAGGCTGCAGCTGGCTGTGCTGTGGTCAGTGCTGTGTGAACACCTGGCAGGGTTTGGGCACCGCCGGGTCTGACTCTCCCTGAGCCCCAGAACAACCTGCTGGTCTGTGTCTCTCTCTGTGTCTCTCCAAACACTCTTCAGGGGCAGGGTACTCCAGGCAGCTTCCTGGCTGGTGAGCTTTGTGCAGCTGGTGAAACCTTCCAGCATCCAGGAGATGTGAGGATGGGAATCTGCCCTGTGCTGACCATGTCCCCTTTGTTACTCAGAGAGCAGCGTGGGGTGAGAACCTGCCCTTGCTGCCCCAGTCACCTTTGGTTTAGGGGATGCTGGTACCTCAACACGTGATTCCCTCTGTGCAGCTTCCCACAGACTGTATTGGGAGGGAAGGGTCTCTTCACTGACACCCCCAGGCTCTGGGCTTCCTTTATGCAGAGGCAGCACCTCCTCTTTCCCATCCCTGATTCTGTGTTTATGTCTCAAAATTCCAAACTACCTTCAAAAATGCTTTGGTGATGTTGTGCCTTTATCTTCTGATGTTCATGAAATGTCCTGCCAATCTGCCCAACAAATGCAAACACTTCCTTGCACTGTTTCCATCTGTGGTTCCTTTTTCTTCTGAATGCACAATAGGTGTGTTGGAGTTGGCACAGAGTGTTTTGTGCCAAGTATTTTGGAGCCATTTTTGAAGCCTGCACGGGGTGCCTTTCCTCCTCAGTTGTAATGACACAAAATGACATGTGTAATCACAAACCTGCTTCTTCTGTTACTAATTAGTTACAGCTTTAGCTGGAATGAAGAGAAACTGGGGGCTCCCAAGTTGCAAATAAGAGGGAAACGTTACAGATGGAGCGTGTGGGGAAAACTCAGGCCAGTGAGGATCATTTATTTAGTCTGTCTGCACCCCTGAGCCCGGGTAAACCTCATGCAGGAGATGCTGCTGTGTGGTTTTCCCATGTGAAGTGAGTTTAGGGTGAGGAATTGCTAAATTCAGGGTGCAGGACTCTGGAGTCAGGCTGAATCATCTCAGGCTTGTTCTTGACCACATGAAATCCTTGAAAACCCTCTACCCTGACCTTTAAACAGTGCTTTCCTTCCTGGGATGCCTCAGCTGTAACACATCAGTCCTGCTGCTGCTCCTGGCCCAAGACTGTCCCAAATCCAGCCTGGGCTGAGCAGGATCTCAGGGCAGGTGAGTGGGAATGGTTGGACCAAGTCCTACCATGACATCTCTTGCACCAAGGAGACAGGTGAAGCTCTTCTTGCTCCCTGTTTGCCACAGCTTTTATGGAATGTTTTCCTGCCCAATCCCATTGTTCTTGGACTTTGTTACAGTTTGTTCAAGGAAAGAGAAGAGGGAAAGAAAAAGAGGAGGTGCAGGAAAAGGAAAGAAAAGAGCAATTGGCCAGCAACACAGCTATCTCCAGATCAGTGAATAGAGAGAAGAATTCATTGTCTGAATTGCTAAATGGACTTAAAAAGGAAGATGGGCACTTGTTCTGCGTCCCTACACTTTGACAAAGCCAGGCACACATGACAGAATCACTTGTTAACAACATTTCTCCTTTTGAGATGAGTGTTTTCTAGTGGGAAATATAAAATATTGGCTGCATTTCATGAGTTGCAAGAAATATGTGCTTCACTGGGAAAAGCATATCCTTGTTTGTGGTTTTATTTAGATGATTTGAAAAGGTGGATTTCAGAAGCCTAATTGAGCATTCTCTGTCTCTGTGTCCATTTTACACTTCACTTGGTGAGAACAGAGAAATGGGGCTGCTCGGGCTTAACTTACAGTTTAGCTCCATTTCAGCCCCTCGGCCGTGCAGAAGGTGACGCCACGTTTGGGCAGCCAGCTCGCCAGGAAAGAGGTGGGAAGAAGCTTCTCCTGGTTTCTTCCTGCAAGATGCCTCCCATTGCACAATATATAAGTCATCTTTGTTGCCACGAGGTCTGCTTTGAGGCTGCACGAGCCCTTGTCTGATGATTTTACTCACTGGGAAAGCCTGATTTCACCACAAAGCATGAGGCTCTGCTGGTGCTTCCCTGTGAATTCTCATTCACACTTTAGGAAAAGCCCTTAGACGTTGCCTAAGGTGTTTCACTTCCCCTCCTAAACTTTGGGAGACTTGATGTACAGTTTGAGTCAAAAAAAATCTCCTTTCCAAAATGGTTCAACAGTGTTTTTGTCACTGTTTGGTAAAGGGCTGCGGGAACTTCACCAGTGCCTGGGTATTTATTAGTGCACGTGCTCTTCCCACTGGGCTCTCAGGAATGATTCTGTCCCTCCTCCTTGCAGCTGTCTGCAGTTATGGAGTTTGTTTCAACGGTGGAAATTGTGTGGAGGGATCTCCCCAGCTCTGCCACTGCCCCCCTGGCTTCCAAGGCCCTCGCTGTCAGTACGGTAAGAACCCTTCACCCCTCCCTTCCTTCTCAGGGGATAAAGGGCAAAGGATGCCCTGATATGTTGGGTTTTTTTAATCCAAGCCATTGTTTTATCTGCAACACTCAAATAATCTTCCCTCCAACTTTTTTTTTTTTCTTTTTTTTGGCCACTGTAAGGTGTGGGGAGCTGGGGTGTTTGAAGGGAAATGCTTATCCTGAGGTGCTGTGCAATGTGGCTCCTGCCCAGCAGCCTTCCCTGCTGGCTGCAGCAGAGGGTCTGCTGGAGCTGGGGAAGGAAGCTGATTAAATTTGGGGCACACAAAGAAACCCTGGGGTCGTGGCCCGTGGCCTGGGGGAGCGTGGCAGGGAAAGTAGTGAAGCTCTGACTGGCTGGATCAGCTGGATCTTTGGCTGGGCTTTATCTGGGGGTTGCTAAGCTTTATTTAATTAGTCTTTGGGAGATGAACTCTCTCCTGAAGCCTGGTGAGCTTCCTATGTTTGGTTATTCAGGGATGTTGTGATTTGGTGATGGGAGCAAACAAACAGCTGCTGGAACCAGGGTGGTTCTTGCTGGGAGGAGAACACTGTCCAGGGAAGGGACTGTCCTTGTCCTCCCTCTGTCTGCCAGGTGCAGAGCAGCAACTCCTGCTCACACTCTGGATTTATAACAGCACATTCAATAAGATTTGTGTCGGTTTTCTTTTGGTTTGTCTTTGTTTGGGTTTTTTTTTAACCATTCTCCAGCCACAGGGTCCCTTGCTCTCCCAGAAGGGAGGTCAGTTTGCAGAGGTAGAGGAGCTGACGTTGGGATAGTCCTTGGCAGGAGCTTTTCACACCAAGAAGAGCCAGAAAGGAGCTTTTCCTGCAAAACCCTCCAACCCCAGAGGAATCAGAACAGTGGGTGGAAAGGTGACTGTGAGTTAATCAGTTCAGGGAAAGTGTGTCCCCCCAGGAGGATTTCAGAGGGCAGACTCCAGGTCTTGCTGCTGTGCCTTGTGAGGAAGCACAAACACCACGGGGCTGCAGCTGCTCAGGCACATTTTTCATGGTGCATCTGTTCGAAGGAACTTTAATTGTTGTTACAATCTCAATTTAGAAGTGCTTAAAAGGCTCTTAAGTCACATTCAGATAATACCTTTAAAGAAAGAGGATTCCTTCTGTCAAACACAAGCTGTAGATTGGCCAAACCCTACATGTTAAGTAAGATGAAGAGGAAGCTGCTTGGTATAAAAACAATTTGCAGCTTGTTTTGCTTGTTTTTTTTTTCTTTATGTTTCTAAACCAGTCCCACTGCAGACACAACAGTAGCCTGAGCCCAAAGTATTTATCTGGCAGTGACACTCTCCTATCTGTGGTTTAAACACTCTGCTTAAAATACCTCTTCCCTCTCCTCCCAAAGGGGTCAGTGTGGATAATTCCCGGGGCTGTACCCGGCCCTGCTCAGCCTCCTGTTTGCTGCAGGCTTTTCTAGGAAATAAACAGGCCTTAAATAGTCCCTGCAATATTTTTTTTGGTCATCGCTTCTCTCCTGTAAATGAATAAAACCCACGTTGGGTGTTTTCCTGCACAGAACCTGAGGGGCAAAAAGCATTTTCACATTTGGAAATGTTTAGCAATTCCTGCTGTTATAATTGGCTGCAGCTTTGAAAATAAAGGCCACGTTTGTGAGACCCCCAATATCCCTTTCCTTTTTCTTTTTTTAAAGGGAAATGATTGACTTATTTGGGAGAGGGAGAAGTTACATCTGTGGTTCCACTGACATTGCCCCCCTTGGACAAGGGACCCAGAGTTGGTGCTTTGGGTCAGTAAAGGTCAGGCTGGGGAGGGCTGAGCTCGGGTTTCCATTTACTGCCCCACAAAGCTTTTTGTTGTCTCAGGAGATTTTACCTTTCTGGTGGTGTTTGGGTATGTGCCTCTATGTGGAACCTGGGAGCAAAGTGCAGAACAATCATAGGGAAAAGCTTTTGGAACTTACTGAAGTTCTGACCTTTATTTTGAACCTTTAAAGTGTCTTTACTCAAAATCTGGTTGTAGCAGCAGCTCAGAGGAGCTTCTTATCTGATTCGTTCATCTCTAACGTGCCTGTCACCTTTTAAATAAATGTCTGCAGTCCTGAATAATAAATGTCTGCAGTCCTGAATACCTGTGGTCAGACCCTCACCTTCTGCACGTTGGCAAGTGGTGGGGATGGGCTGCAGCACAGGAAAGGGGGGATGGCCAAGGATGCACAAATTATGGCTCTACCTGATGTTCAAGGGAAAAAATCAACATGAGCTCTTTATTTTGGAGCCAGCTAATTAGAAGCAACAGGGAGGAATGTGAAATAGAGTGGATAAATCGTTCTTTGTGCTGCTTACCCTCAGTTTGTAAATGTTAATTGTCCTATTGCCTTCTCTAAGAGCAAAGCCCAGCTGACTGGGAACATTCCTTTGCCTTTGCAACCTGAAATACTTTTTGTTTCCAAGTGATTTACGTTTTGTGCTGAGGGCAGAGGGGACCCTGCCCCCCCCTGCTGCCAGGACAATACACCTGTGTCCTGCTGCCTTCAGCAATCTGCCTGGACAGGACTATCTCCTCACTTGGAGGGCTGGAAGGAAGGAGATGGGCTGTTGGAAAGCCCAGCCCCAGGCAGGATGTGCTGCCTGGCTCAGGACTTCCACCTTCTCCTTTGTTTCCTGGTGATGTGGTGGAAAAGGTGATGAATCCCAGCTCGTGTCCTCAGGGCATGTTTTGTGCAGGAAAGGTGATGGACATGGGACACCAGCTCGTTGGCAGGCAGAGCAGCTGAGCCTGGGGCTTTGCTCCCTCAGCCTTGGTCCCTCCTGAGCACAAACCCCAGCCCCACTGCTCAGGCTCTGCAAATGATGGAGCTTTTCCCTTACCTGTGGGTGGAGGAAATGTGCAGACACCACAGACTGGGGACAGTGTCCCCCCTGCACAGCAGGTTACTCTGCAGGCATCCTCAGAAAGCTGGCCTGGCTTTCAAGTTTCATTTTAACCCATTTCCATCCTGTTTTTAGACAGACGTTGCCCTTGAAAAACTCAAGAATACCAGTGATGTGGCTGCATCAGCCCAGCTTGCAGGGAAATGATCCTTTTCTGGTCTGTTTCTCAATGGTTTTGATTATTTATAATATTTTCTAGAAGCCACAGTCCTTGCCACAGAGAATGTGCTGACTGAGGATCCAGGAAGATCCCAGCCACAAACTCATCCTTCCCTTCATCTCAATTTCTTATTGACTCATGTCAAGGGTTTTTCTTGGGAAATATTTTTTATTTTAATTTTGTAAAATTTCTGGTGGAAACCTTATTGTTTGGATTCTCATCTTCCACTGCTAAAAGTACTCAGAGTGGGTCACTTCTGGGCTGATCAGTCACTATTTGTGCTGGTTTTTAATGCTGGGATGGGAGCTCAGAGGCTGCTTCAGATTTGGGGAAAGACACATCACAGCTGAGCAGTGATTTTTTTTTTTTCTCCTCTGGCACCTCTAAAAGAAGCTGTCCTGGTATTTTAGGTGGTGGTACCTTCTTGAGAAATAGTGCCCCAAGATGGAGCTGTGAGGTATCTGACTGGGATGAACCTGAGGATGGTCTGGGGAGCTGCTGGTGAGGCTGTTCCATGAAAACATCCCGCAGGGAATGAAGTTGCTCCACAGTGATGTTTGTGGTGTCATTCATCTTCCAGAAATCCCTGTGTCTGATCTTAATGGTATCACTTTTTTCTTTTCTGGAAAGAAATACAGAGATGTTTGTTTTCAAGGCAGGACTCTGTCCTGGCCAGGCTCCTATCACACCCTGCAGCCCGGGGTGTTTGTGCTGGCCAGCCCGGAGCTGCAGCCACCCCGTGTTTACCCTGGCAGGAAAGCAGCAGTACCCGAGCTGTCTGCCTTCCAGGGCTGAGATGCTGTCCTTCCTGCTCCCCTGAGCTGCTGGAAGGGGTAATATTTGGGCACTCTCCAGCAGCAAATGGCCTCACTTTGAAGCAGCCTCCTCAGAGGGGCTGTGCCAGGTCTGCCAGGAAGGTCTGCACTACCTCCTGTTTACACCTCTGCCTCTCAACACCTTTTCTCTTGGCTCTTGCATCTCGGTGGCTTTTGCTGTGCTGTCAGGGTAGGGATTTCTCTTCTTTTTTTCCCTATGCCACGTGGCATCTCCCACCTGCCACGGGCAGGGTTTGCTGAAGCAGCAGAGCAGAGGCAGAGCTGGAGCAGAGCAGCATCACAAGGGCTGCAGAGGCTGCTTGGGAGCTGAGGAACCAGCTGGGTTGTCCCCAGCTCCTTCCTTATCTTCCTTGTCTGGTAGATGAAAGGGTTGTAAATGGGGTGTTGGAGGTTTGCTTTGGGCTCAGACTCTCTTTAGGAGCTCCCTTCTTTGAGCTTGGGTATAAATGACCCTTCTGTACAGGGCTCGGTGCTGGGAGGGAGGGGGTGGCACAAAGCCTGGGCTCTGCTCCAAGCCTGTGCTGCCTTCCCAGGGATCCCCAGACCACCCCAGGCTTCGAGGTGCAGCTTTGGTGAACTCATAGTACCCCAGGGAAGGAGCAGAGCCCAGGACCTGCACGCCGAGGGGTCCTGCCTATGGGGCAGGGTCCTTCCCTCCGTGGGAGGGTGAGCAGCAGGGCCCCTGTTGTTTGTGTCTCGTCCTGCACATCAGCTGCTTGGCTCCAGGGTTGGCTTCCCAACAGCTTCCTGGTGGTGTGGATCATCTCAGCAACACTCAGGCCTGGGGGCTCCTGAGGGATGTCACTGTGCTGCAGGGACAGGACCCTCCCTAATTAGCTGGGCTGTGTTTTGAAGGATCAGCCCCACCAAGTCTTCTGGAGCTTTGCACAAAGGAGAGGTCAGCTGTGAGCAGGGGCTGTGATCAGTGTCTGTGTCTGCAACACCAGCTGAAATGGCTTTGTCCTTCAGGAGACCATGTCTGTCCCTTTCTTTTCTAGCACTGCCCTCATGTACACAAGCCTTTGACATGTCATCAGTGTTGTTTGATTGACTAATGACCTTGTTTCTCCTGCTGATC